AGTTAAATTTTATTGAACGATATTGGGGAGCAGCAAAATGTTTTGCTCAAGAAAATTGTAATTATTCTTGGGCAGGATTAAAACAGATAGTTCCTAGAAGTTTAGAGTCTGTAAATCTTATTACAATTTGAAAATTTGTTTGATATTCTTAGCGTTATATAGATTTATATGAAAAAGGAATTACAGAAAAATTAGCTGAATATGCAGTAAAGAAATATAAATCTCAGACGAATTCCTGATCATGTAATTGAAGAATTAAATAAAATTTCTTTGTAAATTTGGTTTCGTCTTATATAAATTGTTATCACGTGAATGAAATTTTATTGGTTAAAAGTCACATGATTGATAACATTATAGTCTAAAAAATTTCGGACTATTTTTGATTATAGATGAAATGCACCATATTATTAATTTGTATACTATAAAGGCAATTTGTTAAGATTCTCTAATGATCATATAAGACTAAGTAATTTTATCAAATTTAGTGAAAAATTTTTGATTAACTCAGATTTAAAAATAGGAAAATATTTGATACTTTAATTGTATGATTATTTTTAGCGTTAATTTTTATTTTTTAATATTAGGATTAGGAATTAAGAAAATTAGATTATGTTATATTTTTGTATATCTATATAATAGCATATATTAAACTTTTCAAAGTATCAAAATAAAAAGGTAATTTAATTCTTAAAATCCAGTAAGGTAAATAAAGAATGTGTTAATAAAGTTCTGTTTTTTAACAATTGATTTCCTTTTATATCAGCTATATTATCAGTTGTGTAAAAATGTGTGAGCATTGTTATTTCTTGTTATAATCAGCTTATGTTAGTTGTGATCATTTTTACATATATAAGTATGCTTAACAATATCTTTTGAATATCTAAATTAACAATATCATTGACCTTTCTTATTTGTTCAAAGATAATATGAAGTACTAAACTTTATATGTTTTGTTTCTTATAAGTAATCAAATAATTTTTAGTGATTTTTTAATAAAAATGCTAATTTAGTATGATATCAGATCCTAGATTGATCATAATAATAAATGAATCAAAGGATTACAATATTCTAGTTCATTTCTTTTATACTTTTTCAATTAATTTCAGATATATTTTGCATTTATTCTAATACAGTGAATATGAACATTTTATTGTTTTATTATTCAAAGCTATAATACTAATTCTTTAATTTCTACTTAGGAATTAATACCTTTCTAGAATAACTTTAAACATATTTTAAAGAACTAAGTAACTATATAGGATTATTGATCAAATCTTGATATTGACACTTACTTTAGATTAAAATTAAAATTATTAGAACTGTACCTCTATTAGCTTATTATAAGAGTCTTTAAACTTTGATCATCATTTAAGGAAAGAAAATTTTATTAATATGAATGTTGATTTAATATAGATGCATAAATTATATAGATACTAAGCAATTAAAAGGATAATATTTTTAAATTTCTCTGCTACCTTTCTTTAACTTGCTTTTAAAATTAATAATGTTGTTAATGAGCTATTTCAAAGAGTGTATGAAATATATTGTGTTAAAATATACTTACTTTTTGACTGTCAGTTGACCAATGAAGAATTCTTGTTTTATAAGTATTATTTTTAAACCAATTTATCAAGAAGAATATCATTGAATTTTTTTTTTAAACACATAATTAGATTGTAAAGATTGATTGAATCATTTAAAACTTTAGTAAAAAAGTATTAGAAGCAATATTTTGAGCAAAGTTTCTGAAATAATATCATTACCTTATAACTTTTTAATGATACTTAGTTAATCAGAAACACATAATTTCGTCATTGTTCTCAAATGATTTCTTTATTGTTTGAAAGTACTTTTTTTATCATGAAATAGAAATTGTTCAAGGATAATAAACAAATCGTTTTTATATAATAAAGTACAATCATTAGTTTATATAAAATATTAATCTGGCAGGTTTTCATTTTTATTGATTTTTGAAATAAATTAAACATTATTGAATCATATAAATTCGTTAATGATTACATAGTTTTGATGAATTTACTATACATAAATATTAATAATTTAAAGTAAAAGAAAGTTATTTAGAGTTATATCTTAATTAAAATTTACAAATTATTGCAAATGAACTTTATTATTCGATAAAATAAATAAGATTCATCGACCTATATAGTCACCTTTTTAATCATCACACTTTTCTTATATTATAATTTTTATTATTTTCAGTTACACTTGATTACTAATCACATGATTATAACAAACTCGCATAAATTTTTTACAAGTTAAAATCACGTGAAAACCTTTCTTTTTAAATTACTAATATAAAATCACAATTCAAATGACGATAATGAGTCTTTAGATGTAAATGGTGAGCCACATTCAAATAAGGAAATTTATTGTATGATTTGAAAAGTTAATATTCCTAAAAGCAGCATGATACTGAATATATATTTTATACTTTACGTGTCTTATTTATCTTCCTAATATACTTTTGAAAAAAAAAATTTCACAAAATGAAACAACTTCAACTCTTTCTTCCAATTTTTGTTTTAGTACAAAATCAAAAAAAATGGAACGTATCTTCATTATTTATGATAACATTTGCTTGTTACACTTTAATAAACAAAAATATTTTAACCAACCATTACAATGACAACTATATTTACAAAATATTATTAAAGGAAGTTTTCTGCGATAATATTAAACTTAAATTATAAAGGTAAGTTCCATACCCATGCTTACACTTAATGCGTAAATTGTTCAAAGACATTCTTAGATTAATACCCATGTGTAATTGGGTTTCATTAGAGCATATCTCATGGATTTGTTAAAACACATGCGTCACTGAATTATTTAGAGTTTCAGGTTTCTCTAATCAAAAAAAAATTATTATATTTTAGATGTTAGATTCCTACAGTAGGTACTCATTTTGATCACTTATGGAGATGCACTCTCTTGGAGATTTCTATAACAAATCAATTTGTCAAGTAAGTTTCATACTCATGTTTACACTCAATACGTCAAATTGTTTAAGGAACTGCTTGAAATAATATCCATATGTAATCGGGTATCATTAGGGTATCTCATGAACCTGTTTAGAATTCATGCGTCAATGAATTATTTTAATAAAAAATATTTTTTATTTTTTAGGTCTTGGATTTTTACAGCAGGTATTCATTTCGGTATGATCACTTGCGAAGATGCACTTACTTGGAGATTTCTATAACAAATTATGTTCATTGCCAAGTAAGTTTCATTCCCATGTTAACACTTAATGCATCAATTGTTCAAGGAAATACTTGAATTAATATCATGTGTAATCGGGTATTATAAAGTATCTCATGAACTTGTTTAGAATATATACATTACTGAATTACTTTAATAAAAAATTATTTTTTATTTTTTAGATGTCGCTATCACATATCAAGGTAAAAAAAAAAAAATTTATTCAGAATTTCTCATATCCCTTTCTTTTCTGTCAAAATAAGCACGTTGTTTATAACTCTGTCAATCGAAACTGGGTATAAATTAATTAGTATAAAATCAAATTCTGAAAATCTTTCATTGAAAACCTTTTCCTTCTTACATAAAAAACATCTAATATTCACATAATTATAAGCTATCCAATTTCAAGTACGATAAAATCAACAACCATAGGTTAGTTAAATAATTCGTCGAAAAAAACAAGAAAAAGAAATATTTTAACTCTTCTAATGCTTTGAAATGTTTTATCAAATTTTTCTTTCTTTTATTTCAAACTTAGAACCAACAGTAATAGATACATTTAAAACATTATAATCGATACAATAATAACACAGAAAACTCCTCCCCTTTTTTACTAACTTTTTTAGATGATCTGTCAATTCTGGAAAAGAATTCTTCTGCCTCTATACGAGAAAAAGATCGTATTCCCATTATAATAGTGATTTTCTTTCTTTTAATACTCTTTATCACGGCCCTATAATTGTATATATACATAGAAACATTTCTAGATACCGCAATAATAGATGCAGAAATTGGAGAATTTCTATGTCTGATTCACCTTCATCCTACATCACCTCCAACTCCTCTTCTACACGCTTTTTAAGAGATAATGAGATTTCACAATATTTAAGTATTACGATCGAGCCAGCATGTCTACTATCACGTTATAAGATATTTACATTACAGATTAAGCCAATGACAAAATGTTTATCTATGAATCTGGGTCAAAAGGCAAAAGTATAATAATAAACGAGAATTCAAAATCAACTTTAAGAGGAAGTGAAGCTACGAGAGAAGTAGATATAAAAGAAGAGAAAGAGGAGGAATGTTGCCAAGAAATCATTAACGTTGTGAGATGATGATGATTATGATTTTATAAAAGTAAAGAGGAAGCGATTTTACGTACGGAAAATTTTTTTTGAAAATGAAGAATATCCTTGACATACCGCTGAGAATTAAAATATTCTTAAAGGACTAATTATTTTTCAACAAAATCAAAAATGAACAAAAAAAAAAATTTTTATTGTAAATATAAAAAGACATTTCTCAATCACATCTTTTGAGATTATTGAACCAACTTTTATCTTATAATTTTTTTTGTATTCTTTATTATTTACTTTTTTTTTCTTATGTATAAAAATTTTTTCCTTAATAAAGAAGATTGTAACAGAATCGATAGACAATATGTAAATTTAAATTTTTCTTTAATTGTATAGGATGTGATAATTAATTCTTTGCGAAAAAAATCTTTCATAAAGTTTCTTTTTTTTAAGAAAATAATACTAATGAGCTTACACATGATTTAATCACTACAATTTTTTAAAATTTTATCTCAACTCAGTTCACTCGTTTGTATTCTTTATGACATTCCCCGTTTATGCAAGTACTTAACATCATTGTCCCATAAAAATTTTTGATTTTTTTGAATTGTTAGATAACATCTTCTTATTCTTATTTTCAAGAGCTAAAAATTTATTTAATTCTGAACAATGTAGTG